TTTATTTTATTTTATTTTATTTTATTTTTATCTGTTTTTTTCAGTATTATATGTGCTAAATTTTTGATTTTTCTTTTCAAAATATTTTGTTTCAATTTTAAGCTAAATTTGTTGATGAAAAAGCTAGCACTACTCAGCAGCCATTTGAAGTATTCTCCTGCTGGTATTTTTCAGCCACATCAGTTCTGCAGAGCGTGGGCAGGAGCCAACAGCTGACAGTTGTCAGCAGATGTGGTAACGACAGCTAAAAGTGGTAGCTGTTTTTTTTTTTTAATGGAAGGCACATAAATTGCCCTTTTTCTGGTTCCTACTTTGTTTTATTACTACATAGGTAATTTTACTGGAGAAATACAAAAATGTATAGTTCGCTTGATAGTCAAGTGAAGGTGGGTGTTTTTTTTGTTAGAAAAGCAGCAGTTTTTCATAGCTTTATCACTGTCATGACTAGGATAGTAGAGCTCTGTGGATAATGATATGTGTCTGCCACCAATCCGTTTCAGTGTATTTGTGAGAAAAATTGAAAGAGATTCTCTTTGTGGTCCCTTTAAACTGTACCTTGGAATTTTCATCACAAAAAAATCAAAACCAGGCCACTTTCATGCTTTTGAACTACACTATTTACTCTTCAATATTTAGTTTTCCTCTACTATATATCAGTTATGAATCATGACCCACATAAGCTAAGCAGTGGTTGTGTTTGTGTGCGTGTAGCGAAGGAAAACATAGTAGCATGGCAGACAGATGCAGCATTTTTATATAGGTCGTATTACCCTTCTTAATTCATGTCAGTTTACTGTTAAGACCTTAGGCACAGTCAACCAGTCCAGGATAGTTTGTCTGCTGCCTTATTAGTGTGAGATTATTTCCCCCTTTAGCATTAATTAAATGAGAAGCATTGATTTGTGCTGACTCTACAAAGCCCTACATGGCTACAAGGCTTATGTGGGGGATTAGAGAGGAATATCTGTGTATCAGTGAATACTTTTACAACAGCTGCTAGGAGTATCTATGTGAATCGAGGAATTTTTTATTTAATTGCGTATGTGTGCAATAATAAAATCTCATGTTATAGTAGAGTCTACAAGGCTAAGATGTCAGTTAGAACTTCTCTATCCACTTGCATTAGGGGTTTTTAAAATCTTTTTTTTTCACCTTCAACATTCTAACCTGAACCAATGCAAATTTACCAACAAAAATGGCAGTGTTAAAATTTAATTGAGGCATTCTGTCAAGTGTTTATTGTAAAATAAATATATTTCCCTTAGGAAATTCTAATCTAGTGTGGTAGTAGGCTTGGATTCTCAAATTATTATTAGGATACTTTGCTATTTCATAGCTTGTATCTTTTCTAAGATTATTTTTTTTAATGTATGCAAGATGCCATGTGTGTCCTGTTGTATGTTCTCTAGGAATATGCTACCTATCACCCTGCACCAGAAATACTTGCTTAGGCCTCTGCATTATGGTGCCATCATAGCTGCCCTGTCAATAGGGCATCAGTCATGAAGCAGTCATCCATCAACCCAAAGACCTGTAGTTAGTTCACCAGAGACAGAACTGCTGATGCAGAAGATAGTTAAGCATTAACAATTGCTCTCGGGTTTTCAGGCTTTGAAGGGTAATCCTGAAAAAAAACCTAAGAAAGTCTTACAGAGTTCAATCTATCTTTCCGTGGCTAAGCAGAAATATGAATAGTCTCAAGAAATACAGATATTCTGTTACAAGTGAAATGCAAATACTTGTATTTTTATTTGTCTTGGAAGATGACATCCAGGAACTTTATATTTCCTTGGAAAAATATCTATATTAAAGAACATAAACCATTCTGACATTGCAGGTTTTTCTTGGAAATGGAGCATGACATTTTAGTCCTGAAAGCAGGAGCGTAACTCTGTCAGTCCTAAGAACAAAAAAGTTTGTATAAATGCTTTCTAAGATGTTCTTTATGTCTGCACCCTTCAACTCAAGTAGTCAATCTGTTCTTACACATTATAGGTGCAGTTTTTGGGGAAAAATCTGACATCTACTGTTGTGGTTTAGCCTGGCTGGCAACTAAACACCACACAGCCGCTTGCTCACACTCCCCCACCTCTGGAAAATGGGGAAGAGAATTACAGGGAAAAGGGAAGCAAACTCTTGGGTTGAGATGAAAACAATTTAATAATAATAATAATAAATTAAAGGTAATAATTATAGTAATATATCAAAAAATATAATAATATATTCGAGCAAATGATGCACAGTATAATTGCTCACCACCCAATGACCAACATCAGTCTCGTCCCAGCAAGTGATCCTGAAGCAGCTAAGTCCCAACACCACAATCCCAGACAAGGGAGAGGCCGGGGGGGGGTAAGAGAGAGCAGTTCGAGAGACTGAGAGAGCCCTCAGAAGAGCAAGAGCCCTTCTTTCTGGTCAGCCCTCATCTGTGTACTGGGCATGATGTTGCATGATATGGAATACTCCATTGGCCACTTTCGCCCTCAATCAGAAGTCTACGTTCAGATCAAAAGGGGAGTTGTGGACCCTTTGTCCCGGCCATGCTCCCCCCAGCCTGTCGCGCTCTTGCACATTGGCGAAAACATAGGAAGCTGAAAAGTCCTTGATGTCTCAGTGCCAACTATAAACATCAGTACACTATCAACACTCTTCTCGTAACAAATCCCATAATAAATCTAGGACACAGAGCTCTTCTAGCTGCTAAACAGAAAAACTAACTCTGTCCCAGTCAAAAACAGGATGTCCATCTACTTAACCTGCTTTGTCACTAGACAAAGTGTGAAGTCTGTTGCAGTCCTCCATTATAAATTACCCATTGCATCTGTTAATGACTTTGTTCTAGGAGTCCAGGTTTCATAGCCACTTAGCAATGGGACGGTAAACCTTTCCCTTTTAATGATGAGTTCAGTTCATACTCCTAGTGGTTCAAAGCCATTTGTTAAATTGTGGTTCAGTGGTAAATCTTCAATGGTAGAATAGCCATGTTGTTACTCGTAGTAGACAACTGCCCATTTCACAGCCTTGTGAAGTTCAGCTGATAGGAGGTGAAATAACTGAGAAACTACTGCACTGGAAAAAGGAACAGGCCTTAAGAGATGGGCATCTCTTTCCAATACCGTTCCAGACCATGCAGGGCCAATCCTCTGTACCACAGTATCCCAAGTTCTCATCTCTCCAACATCCCACAGATGTTGTGAAGAGAAGGAAGAGTTGCAGGAAGCATGCAGTGAAAGACTTCAGTCAGGAGGAGAAACAGCAGGCAAAACATGAGCTGCTGGTGTCCAGAGAACATATTTTTGGCCTTTACAAGTCTTGATCTTCTTTTTCATTGTCCCTCCCTCACCTTTGCACTCTTTTCCTCAGCTCTTCTTCATAGCCGCTTCGCTGCTCTCATTCCATCCTTCTCTCTGCATCTGTTGTATTTCTACCTCGGGAATTTCTTGCTTGTTCTTTAAGCCTCAAGGCTCTAGCATGCCATTTGCTGCAATTATATTACACAACCTGTCTGTATGATATAATTGTGTGATATTCCACCGTACAGGCACACACACACACACGAGGGCTGTTTCTTTAATAAGATTTTACACTAACACAAGGGGCACCCTTTCAAGGATGATTAGATCAAAGTGAAAACAAGAATGAAAAGTGAAAAACAGCTCATTCATGTCCTTTTCATGTCAGAAACTACGTCTCCATAACCAGTGCCATTTGCATATAATATTTCTGGATTCTGTGTTTCTATGTTTTCTATGTATTTTTTTCTATATCACAATATGCTCTCTTCTCACTTGATAAAATTTTTACAGCGTGGACAAAGTTTACAAGTGCAAGCACCTAAAATTTAACAAAAGCAACCAAAAAAAAGTACATATCTTCCAAAGTTCCTGAACATCTGCTTTCTTGGATTTGAGGGGTGATTGCTATGAACTTCTGGAGATTACCATCCTTAATCACCCTCAAGATATGTTGACATAATACACACAGAAGGGCATCTAAGATGATGACATGCTTCAGAGAAGGTTTTTCTGAAAAGTACCATTCGATAGGTAGTAAATGGAGTGGAACAATCATTTGCAACAAGTGATTTATCTATTTTTTTAAATTCAGTCTTTTTTCTTGGCTCAAGAAATATCTGCAAGCAATTTGAAGTCTGCTTCTGCCTGGGTTCTAAAGGAGTCCAGTGGCAAACCTAAATGCTAAATAGTCTGTTGAGCCAAATAGCGAGGCAGCTGAGAAGAAGAGAAGATGCCAAGGGATGAATATGCCAAAAACTTTTTGTCAGATATAACAGGATCGTTTTCATCCTACACAGTAATTACCTATAGAATATGAATCAAAGGGTGCAGTCTTTTTATTTCTTCTCTTTGTCCTCTATTTTTATTTGTGGGAACATCGTTCATTACATTTCACTGTCTAGTCAGGACATACCAGAGTAGGCTCTGGAGGGCTTTGCATTCTGTTTGTGCTTCACCAAGATATTACTTTTGGCAGGATGCTTATGTCTTTTCTCCTCTTTATTTGTTTTTTATCCCTACGCAGTATGTCTTTACAATTCTCTTGACTCTGTGTTCTGAGCCATTTATTTTCCTCTTCTCTCTCCCTGTCTTTTCTTACCCTTTCCTCTATTCCCTCTCAGTCTCTGTTGTTTTGCATCTCCTCTGTTGTTTTGACTTCTGACTTTGTGCCATGAAAAGTAACGTCACCCATTTATTTTTCTCTTCTATTTGGAGAAGTCTTGGAAGCTGTGAAACTCCTTCCTGGATCTCTTTTTTCTGTTCAGGTCTTGACCTATTTTTTTTCCAGTGCTCTTAGTGTACCAGTGGTTAGGAGTTTTTTAATGTTTGTCTTGCATCTTGCATAGTAACTGTTTTCTCTCTGCTCTCCAAAAATGTTCTACATTTCCAGTATCTCCAAGCCTTTCTACCTTGTAGCACTTCTTTTTATGCTTTCAATGATTGACTCCATTCTTGTTCTCTCCTTCGTGTGTCTTATCCACTCTTCTTGTTCAGCTCGTTAATTTTCACACGTGGAGGTTGGATGTTGATGCCAGCTTCTCTGACAAAATAGGAAGGAGGGAGAGGAGACCATCATAAGCTAGATATCCTTGAGATGTCATAGGAAAGAGCTATATGGTGAGCAGAAGCTGTTCCTTGAAGCATGTAGGATTAAGGACCCAGTATAAGATTGCAGTTCAGTATTTTTTCATTATAAAGTAGGTGGGAAATGTTAGCTACCCTGCTACATCCTCTCCAAAATGCATTAACTACATATCACTAGCTACTAGCTTATAGTTTTCCGCGTTAAAACTCTTACTAAGACATTATACCTCTCATACAATGCTGTTCTGTCTTTATTGCATTCTATGCTAAAGCAGTTTTAGTGAATGACTTCAATATACATATTTTGTAGATAGCGTGAAAAAAGGTTGCTGTAGTGGTATGGTGCCATTTGATATTTTATGAAATCATTTGAACTACAGCTCAGTGTAATTAAAAAGTTACCTGGGATTTGCATATAGTATAATGTATTTGATACTGTGTCTGTCTGCAAGATTCTAAAAATCTTAAACTTTTTGGCTAACATTCTTGTTACCTCAAAAAAATCTTTATTTTCCAAATTTGGATGAACTGAAGGGGAAAAAAGCAAAATAGTTTCTAATTTTTCAATCATTTTTGTTTAGCACGTTCCACACAAGCTCCTTTTGGTAAGCTATGAAGTATTGCCATGCTATAGTTATCTGAGTCCCAAAATGTCGTGATGTCCTGGAGAAGATCTTTTCGTATGGCTGGGGCAGATAGGGAAGATCCGTTTAGATTAATTAAGATGAATTTAAAATAGCTCAGAGGTTTATGGAAGTCCTTAAAATAAAGTCTTCCTGAAGCAGCCTGTAGCAATTAAAGTTACCTACTTCAGGATGTACAATATATTTGAAGCAGCTTGAATTTGTTTCTTCCAGACGTTAGTTACAGAGACAGAAATTTAACAAATGTGAAAAAGCATAATTATATTATAGTAGAAAGGTTTCTCTAGGAAAAAAAATACTTAGAAGTTATATTGAAAGTAAAGGCAGCATTTCAGAATCTCAAGAAAATTGTGAAAGAGCAGTAAAATTTTCACTTAGTTCTATCAGACAATAAATATCCCTAAACACTTATTTTAATTTATTGCTTGGAGGGAATAATTTCTTTTAACTTTTTTGCTATTGCCCATTTTCATTTAGTAGTTTCTTGATTGTATGAGTATCTGGTTTTGTACAGCACCTAAGAGGGCTTGTTAAAAGCTCATTTCAGGTGAAGATAGAGTTTCCTGCAAAGTTCAGTGTAGGATGGAGCTCTGAGATAGGGTGCATCTGATTTCTAAGACTCACTCAGAGACATCAGGTAAGGTAAAATGTAATCAATTTTGTATTTACTACTGCAGGGCAATCTATGTCACCATCTCTGATATGCAGTGATATGATCTTCAAAAATATATTTTGTCTAACACAGTGTACCTTTCATACAATATCACTGAGCTGATCAATCAAATGGCAAGAGATATTTAATAAACATGCTTGTAATTCAAGCTAACAACATTCTAGCCGTTTTAAGGAAGATACCTTTGGTGAGCAGTAGTTCTGCTGTGCTCAAATTCAGGATGTGCACTGTATATTTATTTAACTATTTAACACTTCCAAACAGAGGAAAGTTATATAGGATAAAATTATCACCTCAATTTGACCATAAAATATTCTGAATGTTACTGTATGTTTAAAAAAAACCCAAACAACACAACAGCCTTCTGTTCTTTATAGCTAGAACAAATTAATAGAAGCAACTAAAAATAAGTATATAGAATTGAAATCTTTTGGGTGTTTTTATTTTACACAAGTTGTGATTGTTTGGTATTGGTTGCTTTTAGAAGAGACAGAATAGCTTCACTTAGAAATATAGGCTAAAAACATAAAGCCTCTAACATCAGCTCTGATGAAAATGACAGTGATTGCTTTCAAACTAGAAAAAATTCCAGATATGTGAGAAACATTTGAAACCATGCCTAGCAAACTGTGCCAATCATTTAAGAATGATCTTACCCAAGTTCGTATTAATTTTGCAACTGTGTTTATCAAATATTTTATTTTAGTTTTAAATGCACTGGGATTTCTTTAATCTTTGAAGTGAACATTTGCCAACAGTAAATACATTGCAGATCTGACACGGGAAAGGGCAGAGGAGACTTCATCTAGGTTTGGGGTATAATTGTAGTTAAAATGCAGTAAAGGCCAGATTTTTATTTGAGGTTTTCTAGCTTCTGCTGTAAATATTGGCATAAATGACACATCTTGTAGAACTATGGCATATGTTGCTTTTGAAAGAAAGACATTTTCACTTACTCAGTGAATTGAGGCCTCATGTTACTCCCTGCAGAACATGTCATACTCCTTTCCAACCTCTCAGGACCAATGACTTATCCAAACCAAACATCTGCTTTTCCATTCAGTGCAATTATTCAGTGTGCTACTGGGGGCAGATGGTTGTTAATCGGCAGATCATTAATGTAGCAGACCACTCTCTCTTTCTAGCCTTAGAAAGGTCACAAGGTGTTAAGTTCCCTTGCTCCAGGCTAGTAAGATGCATATCTTTTGAATCAGTTGGATTTTTTTATGTATAACTGCAATTGAATTTCTTGATGCAATTATGGAGGAGCTTTTAATTAAACCTTTTTTCCTTAAAAAAAAAAATGCTGTTTTTATAGTGTAATAATGATGCAACCAAGAGATGGGTTAGTGTCAATTACACTGTAGCTGTCAGAAAGTTTGAATGCTGAAATCTGGTGCGTGTGAATCCTAATCAGATAGCAGTGAGGATACTCAGCTGCTACTCTAACACAGTCTCCAGCTATATGTGTCAATTTTCTGCAGAATTTAATTTAGCTCTAATGATGAAGAAATCTCTCTATTCACACTCCTGTCAAGTCAAACTTTGGACAATCTAAATGAAGTAGACGAGGGCTTCAGGGAGAAGTGGCAGTGTGACATGCTGAAGAGATTTCACTTCCTTTTCCATCCATGCAGGTTATATTGAGGAAGCCTGTATTATTCCATGTCCCTCAGACTGCAAGCTCAGTGAGTGGTCCAACTGGTCTCGCTGTAGCAAATCTTGTGGGAGTGGGGTAAAGGTTCGGTCTAAATGGCTCCGTGAAAAACCCTACAATGGTGGAAGACCCTGTCCAAAGCTAGATCACGTCAATCAGGTAATTTGATTCATATATACATTATTGATATAGCTTTTCCATACCTCAGATAACCCTTTAAGCTGGATTGTTTGTTCATGTAGAAAAACCTATACAACGTAAGGGGCAGATGCAGGTAGAAAGAGGAGTGTATTTTGGCTTAGATTTCCTCAGTCAGCATAGGATCTGCCTTCATTGCTTCCTCATCTGCAAGAACTTAGCACATTATCTGAACTGCAGACTGAAGGCAATAAAACATTCTTACATGCAAATTGTGAAGAGCACGTTTCTGAAGATCTTCTTACAATGGGTAAAATGTCTCATTGCAGGTGCTCAAACTGGTAAAATTCTTAGTATCATTCCCTGACCAGTTTAGATCAGAAAGCAAATTAAAACTTCTCAAACACTCACACAGTATCATCCCAGTGTCCCTTAGTCGGTTTTAGTCAAGCTGGAGCTTGACCTTCCAGGTACACTTGCCCTGGCACTGCAATTCCAGTCAGGAATGCACTTCCAAAGTCAATCTCCCAGTTGTCCCACTAACTGCACTTGATTTTCCAGTATGGAGCAGTCTGGCCGCACAGTCTGGATCTTCTTCAAGTGAAACTAAGCCAGAAAATGTGATCCAAGAGCACACTGGGAGTGCTTTGACCACTAACGAGCATTTAGGCTTTGGGACTTAGTTTAGTGCTAGTTCAAGCCAAACCCCTGAAGCTTGTTTTCTCCTGTTTGTTTGGAGAGTTTTGGAATGAAAAAACCTTCCTTGTCAATTAACTTATGCTCTTCAGAGTTGATTTATATTCATGTTACGGTTGAATTTAATTTATTCTGCAGAGGCATGTTAAACAGCCACATGGTCTTCTCTGTAAATATTCAAAGATTGAAAAAAAAATGCTGTCAATTTACATTTGAATAAAAATGCATGTACTTAATATTATCCTATTGACATTTTGCTAGCACAGAGTGAAATGGCTTGTTGATCTGATTTTCTACTTTAGGGAATGTAATTAGTTCTAATTTAGAAAATAATAAGTGTTAAACTGCAGCTAATAAACTAAGTTTGTGATCTACTTTAACAAAATACAAACTAGAATGAGGGTTGCTGGATTTGGGTCAGCATGTAAATACGCTTTAAATTAGGAGGAATGTGTTTCAATAGGAGCAAATTATAGTCTATACAGAAGTCTTTTCCTTCTGTAATATTCATGTAGTACATAATAGACTCGTATTTTTCTACATCAAAGGTGATTTTGCTAGAGGTCTGTTAGTCACTTATATGCAACACTATTGCCCTCTACCGGTACGTTGACTCCAATTTGATTTGTTGCAGTTTTACGCTGTACTTGTCAAATAATAATAGATGATTCAAAATGTAATCATTGTAAAAATAAAATTGAAATACAGTACTTTCATGAGAATGGAGCTCTACAGATAAGATGGGAATGTCGAAGAATATAGAGGCCCTATCTTTCAAATTTAAATACCTTCACTGTCAATTCAGAAACAGGCAGGGAATACACCTGCATTCTAATTTTGAGTTAATTATTTAATCTAAATGTGATCCACCATTCATTCAGCTGGAAAACTACTGACCCTTCAGAATATTTATTTCAGTTATTAAATGTAATTTGTTTGATTTATGTATTTAATACTTATTTCTGTAACATGCTTATTTGCATACATACAAAGCATAATGGTTAGATTGGGTCTTTGGTGCCCACAAGTATGTGGAAGATGATGTACAGAGTGGCTACACTGTAAGAAGAGATCTAGGAATTATGAACTCTGAGGAAAAACTGCAATGTGTTGTCTAACCCACAGAAGAGAAGATGGGAGGGAGGATGCTGACAGTCTGCTAGCATGAACATAAAAGGCTGAAGCAGGAAATAATCCATTTTCCATGGCCATCGTGGATGGGATAAAAAGCAGTAGGCTTAGACTGCTGCAAGCAGATTTGGGTTAAGCCTTACGAAAACTTTCTAGTGGTAAGGCTAGTGAAATATTGAAATAAAGTGCTTAAGACATCTGTCAAGTTTTAAGAGCAAGTTGCTCAACATCTTTTGGGGCTGACACATACGACTGTATTTTGGAGGGAGACCGAACATAGTGAATGCTAGCTGTCTCACTGAGCATCTTTCCTCCTGGGCCATGCATGCTAGGATGACTCCCAAACCACACTCCAACTGAACGAAGCTTGTTCAGTACTCAGTTCACTAGGTTAAACATCTTCATAATTACAATAACAATAGAGTCAGGTTTATTATAAAATCATGTCAATGGCCTTCAGAGGATTTCAAATGAAGAGATTAATCTCAGACTGTTAGAGAAAATAAAGACGTCCTCTCTTCATTGGCTCCAGGCATAATTTTTCCCTTTATCCAGCAGGTGGATTTGCAATCCTTACACCACCCAACTGCTGTGGCCTACAGTCATGGTTACAAAAATGCCAATAGGGCCAGGAGAACACCACTAAAACCAAGCAATGCAATATAGCGTTCTCCTTTGGCTTTCTGGCAAGATGTCCAATTTTTATGTTACTCGAAAGGCTATTGAATATGCAGGGTTTATATATTTCTGCTTATGCCAACTAGGGTAAGACATACAGAGACGTTTCCCGAAATTAAGGCTTCCCTATTCTCAATTTGGAAATCCTGGACAAGAATGAATAAAGTGCCACTTCCCATGTGACTACAAACTGTGCATTGAGTCCAGTACTTTCCTTAGCATGCATTTACACCACCCATCTTTATGCCCGAGTTAATGCTTATGTTGTTCAAAGAAGGCCCAAATATGCTGACTATGCTGGTTTTCTTGTGCATGGGCTGATGAGCTGCATAGTGATATATCAGACTCTCTACGCATTCATTGTTCAAGTCTGTCTGTTTTTTTTGTGACTGGTGGTAATTTGTTGCAGGTTTACTGATGAACTATCAGACCATCAGCCCTCTTCTTCTACACAAGCATTGTTCCTGAAAGGAAATCAAGGACCTGTTTAAGACAATGTCTTAGATTATCTATCTAGAAATATTAGTTCTGCTGACTTGATACCTAGAATGATATGTGAAGTTAGCTGGTATAAGATAATTTTGAGGCAATGGGCTTTATGTAATCTATGCATAATTAAGATACTAATGAAGGACTTAGGAATTTTGAAGGGTAAGAACTGTCAGTTCCTTTTATTCCTCTGAATCTATTGCACTTCATGCTGTCAGAACAATTACAACTAGTAGAGAAGTCGAGTATCCTCTCCAAAACCATTGAAGATTTTCTCTTGTCTTAGGGAAACTGGATTCCCTACTGTGTGAAGAGTTGATACTCGTTATAGGCAAAACAGGAAAACAGTTTTGTTGCGTGTTAGGGACTGAGAAAGAGACTAGTTAATTTACAGTCTCTTCCCACTAGTTGAGATTTATAAACTTTCATTATTTTCCAAGGGCAAACTTCTTGCAAAAATGCCTCATGACAGCAAGGGAGATGCAATAGGAAAAATTGGATGCCTTTTGCTTGGCAGAAGTCATAGAATATTGTTTTTAATAAAAGCTGAATGAATGCCATTTAAATACCAATGCTTCAATCTAATCATTCTTTCTTTTTATCTTTGGTTTTTCTTTTGGGTTCGTGAAAATACCTTCTTCAGGCTCAGGTAAGAGTTTCCAAAATAGAGCGATAACCTTAACATGTGTTTCCTGATTGTATTCCAATGTTTACCCTGTCTGAACTTTTTTAGTAATGTACATGTAAGATGATGTATGGAACACTGTATAAGGTACTATAAAAGATACTATTTAAAATCTTTATTCATATCTAAACATAGTACTAATGCTGGTATATGAATACATTAGAAAGATTTTAAGTATCCACGATGAAAAATAAAATGAACTGGTATATATTGGTACAATTTACCTTGAGCTCACCTCTCTTTAGAAATACAAAAACCTCACAACTAGTAACAGTGGGATGGAATACTTGAGGAAAGATATGAAGGATCAAAAGTTTTAGCAGAGTTTCAGCAGCATTTTTCTAAAAGGTATACTCGTGAGCTAGGCCAGTTACATATTTTATGTTAGTTGTGTTGACAATATTGGTGAAAATGGCATAGCATGAGCTTAGCAGTAGAGAAAACCAGGGAATCTGTCATTAGATGTCTTAGCTTCTGACTTTTTGTTATTTCTGTAGTTTTTTATCAAGTATTTTATCTGTATTATTACTACAGCCTTTAAATGATCAAGTTTACATTTGTTATTCTTATTGAAAAGAGGATTAACCCATTTTTGCATGATCACTGTTGCATGTTTATCTTGTGTGCAACAAAACTGACGCTTGATGTGGGTTCCAGGTATATGAGGTAGTCCCCTGCCACAGTGACTGCAGCCAATACGTATGGGTTACTGAGCCCTGGAGCGTCTGCAAGGTGACCAATGTGGACTTAAAAGAGAACTGTGGAGAAGGTGTTCAAACAAGGAAAGTCAGGTAAAACAGTATTGCTCCTCCTTCACTTTAGAGAACCTTCACTTTCAGTCACAGCTCTTTTTAATTTGATATGATTTTGTGTACTGTATAGTGGTAAGTCGACCGATAGTATACTGGACCAGAACCCTGGTTGATGTAAATCAGAATGGCTTTAGTGAGTGCAATATGGCTCTGTCTACTGGTTATGAATACAGACCTTGATTCCTACTTTGTAAACTAATGTATACTGTACTTCTTATACGACTTCAGACACTGCAATGTATGATTTTAGTGCTTTTCTGAAACCATTCTAAAATGATCCTCTTTCTATATGAAACTATGACTTTAAAAAAAAAAAAACTGTTTTAAGTATATATACATTTGGGAATAATAGTTACATGTATTACAGGAAAAAGTGGTAAAAGTGGATGAAGTGAAATAGAAGAGTCCAGAAATCTTCTGTTGTTTATTGAACCCAATCTAAGCATCTTGTAGGCTTGCTCATCATCCCAGAGCTCTAATCAAAGATTAATTAAAATTAGTCTCACATGGTGTGGACACAGCAAAGTTTGGGTTTAGTGTTGGTTGGGTTTTTGGGGGTTTTTGTGTGACTGACTGCAAAGAAACACACAATTTGAGATTATAAATTTGAATAATAAACCATAATATGAATTCAGTTGGAAGGATGGAAACGGGAGTTGTATGCAGTAAACTGCTAAATCTTCTCTTTTCCCTACCTCAAGTACATGTACAGGATTTTGTTCACAATAGCACTGTTTCTTCAGTGTAACTGTTTACTTCAAGGTTACAGCATTACTCTTTGCTTGACCAAAGTTAGAAAGACTATGCACAGTAGCATCTAAACAGATTCCCATAAGAATTCTCTTTAAAAACTTCCAATGTGAAAAATAAGAAGTAATCAGTGTTTATGTTGAAAATAGACTTTAAAACTACCATCAAAGATAAAGTGATTTCGGCCCTTTCAGACTGAAAACATCTTTTGTTTATTATCATATAATGCTGTTAGAGTACTAATGCCACAAAGCAAGTAAAAGCTCATGCTGTGTCTCTTGTATTTACCTTAGAAAAGAGGATATTTTAAAAATTAGTTTAGTCTGATGACTTAAGATATTTCTGAGAAAGTAATGTAGAACTGAGAATACTTTCATGAGTGTGAAAGGTTTCATATTGATATGAGCTTTTATCTCACAATTTTCTCAGTCTTATTTGAATGATCCTGGTCATGTACTAGTTGGATTTCTTCTGACAGGTGGAAGGGATAAGTTAGCAGCAGATTACACAGCACTGGAAATACTTTGAAATGAAGACTGTCATCTTCAGCTCTGCAAAACTGAGCATATTAATTTCTCATCTTAACCGGGCATCCAGTTGCTAATTTAATATAATGGCAATTAAAAAGCATCAGTGTAAATTAAGGATTAATGCTAAGAATATAAAATTTTAAAAGTTCTAATATTTCTACATTTAAAATTGTCAACTGAAGCATGGACAAAATATGTCTAAACTAAAGCTATTTGAAATTATTCTGTCTTACTGGTAAGCTAATGTCAAAATCACCTGCCCAGAAACTCAGCACATCGCTGAAAGCAAATGTCTAAATTCTGTGCATTTAATTATATGGCTGTCATCTGTAAAAGTGAGGATTATTTTTGGCTCCTCAACTTTTCTTAAACTTTCATATATCAATAGGTTGCCCAGAGAAGTTGTAGATGCCCCATCTCTGCAAGTGTTCAAGGCCAGGTTGGATGAGGCTTTAAGCAACCTGGTGTAGTGGAGGGTGTCCCTGCCCATGGCAGAGGGGTTGGAACTAGATGATCTTTGAGGTCACTTCTAACCCTAACCATTCTATGATTCTATGATCAATACTTAGTTCTATTGCTTCAATTACTTCATGATTAATAGGTGCTGGCAAAATATTAAAATGCTTCAGAATACTGTACAAAGTCCATGGCAAATGCAGTTTATGTGCAGTTCTTTTTTCCAGGTGTATGTTAAATACAGTGGATGGTCCTTCTGACACTGTAGAGGACTATCTGTGTGATCCTGAAGAGATGCCACTTGGTGCTAGAAAATGCACGTTACCATGTCCTGAGGACTGTGTTATGTCTGAGTGGGGATCATGGTCTCGATGTTCTTTGGTAAGAAGTATGCTGATGTGTCATGTTTATTGGTTTAGGGAGATACTTTAAAAATATATGTATGACATATTGTACAAAGATGCTGGATTAACTAGGGATTGATTACACATGTAAATTTCTATATTTGCTGTTATCCTTAGGATCATTGATGGTTGCAGATAAAGTGTGCCAGTGTTATCCATTAAGTGAAACTGTTCCAAAATACAAAATATAATGTCACCAGGGGTCATTCTTCAGTGTGGGTTAGGTTCTGTGTGGTGAAATAGTTTTGGCAGTGTCTTACAAGTCCTTCTTTGAGCCTACCTGTGAGCCTCTCCATAGCTGTGCAGTCACTATCTTTCAAAGAGCAAAGTCTGTAGATCGAGATTTAGCATAGAAAGATATTTTGTGGGTCTTCTCCCCCTTCCTGCCAGCAGTTTCAAAAAGAAATGTCCAAAAAACCAAACCAAAGATAAAAAGGTGTTTAAGGACCTCTGAGTGTTTGGGCTCTGGTGTGCCACAGTATGGCGTTGGAAAGTGAGCATCTGAATTTCCAGTTTATTAATGAAATGGTTTCAAAGTGCTAGTACTGAAATATGAACTAGTTAGGAAGGTAGTAAGGTTTTACCAAGTTAGAGGATACTTCATCTTGGGTAGTACCAAGGTGAAACAGCGGACTAAATTCTCTCTGAAATAACAAGGAAATGATTTCTCTTAGGCAACACCATGAGCCTGTTATTTTGCATTTGTGTTCTATGAAGAGGTTACTTGAAAGGTTGTTATAATGTTGCATGAACAAGCATCAGGATGCTGAAATCAAAGCCCTTTCCAATCTCCCTTTCAAGCCATGCAATGGAAGTAGTGTTCGTGAAAGGTCAGCTGAACTCCTGAGACAACCAGATGACGGAAAGTCTTGTCCTGCTGCTACCGAGACAGAGGTCTGCACTTTGAACAAAAACTGCTACCACTATGACTACAATGTGACAGGTATTTATGGTGCTATGATCCAGTGACAACTTGGGACTGTGGCTTAGTTCCATTCACCTTACAGGACAGATTTTTTCAGCTTTCTGTTCTTATCTGGAGGGAGCTGTGGAGCTTGTACTGAAAACTGATTCAGGCTATTTGATCCAGTTAAAATATTATTGCAGACTATAACTTGGGTGTAGTGTGCATACTATAGCTCCAGGAAATTTATTTCTGTGATCATTTTGTGATTTGCTCAACATCCATGCAGAAGAAACAGAATATGAACTTTTCAGGAAGGCATCACATCACTGACTATTTACAGTAACAGTGATTGTTTCTGAAAATGTGTAGCAACTGAGCTCCATGAGCCCTTGCATGTGTAAAAGTTGCTTGTGAAGAATATTTTATGCCATCAGAATTAGAATTAGGTGGGAGATTGGATCATTACGAGTTTTGTCTAAAGCATCTGCTAAACTAATGAATTCCTTGTTTCCAGACTGGAGCACATGTCAGCTCAGCGAGAAGGCCGTCTGTGGTAGTGGCATCAAAACACGGATGCTCGATTGTGTTCGCAGTGATGGCAAATCAGTTGACCTCAAGTACTGTGAAGAGGTGAGTGGGTACCTGTGAGTAAGCTGCCTTCTAATGGTGCTAATTAAATGCTGAGCCAGCTGAGCTATATGGCAAGGTAAAACATCTTTGCCAGATGTTTTGCAACACTATTCATGGATTGTTAAGTACCTCTGAAATGAACCGTGCCATCGACAGTCATTTTTATACAATTTCCTTTGGTTACTTTTAAGTAGCTCCATGAATGTATGCTAATTATTATGTCCTGAAGGAAAAGTCTTAGAAACAATAATTAATAAAGTAGAATAAAGATAATAAATCTTAATCAGAACACGAATCATCATTCTAATTTGATACAATTCCTGCATGGAGCTTTGGACAGCTGCCAGTATCAATCATTTACTCAATGTGTTGGAAAATATTTCTCACGTGCCATTCTGCAGCTGGGCTGAATGTTAACTTCTTGTATCCAGCTGTGCAATGAAATGATACCCAAGCTAGTGTAAAAAAATGTGCAGCATGAATGAAATATTAAATAGAAGCATATATGGAGAACTAACCAGCAGACAGGAGCCCTTAAATTTTGAAAGAGTCATTTTGCAGATGTTCAAACAAACTTCAGATTTGACAGCCCTGGTTTTCTGGGATTTTGTGTGTTGGTCTTAATATTTTCAATTACATGGAGATAGTAATGTGAAGGAAAATGGGAAGACCACACAAGTGTTGCTTTAAGGACAATCCTACATGCATTTCTGATGGAAAATAACTGAACTTTTTTCAGCTGCCATTTCCCCACCATCTTGACATCAGAAACAAAATAACTTGCAATAGGGTACTAAGGTGGTGTGGTCTCCACAGCAGCTTTGGTACCAACTCCTTGTCTGTTGGACCTTCCTGGCTTGTAGCTGCTCTTCAGGACGTGCCCATAGAGAAGTCTCATCAGAAGTAGCGGGAATCAGGAAACCATCACATACCTTGGACTTCAGTTTTGTAGTCATGTATCTGACTTAGATTTTTGCAACCCCCTCCAACATCTTGGATTACTGACTCCGTAAGTTCTTAGCAAAGTTTCAGCTGAGGCTGCACTCTACTTTTGTCCCAAGTTCCTCCTTCACACATAGCTCTTGGGTTTATAATCAAATCTAATAATTTCATCATTTATACCTCAGGAAGAAACTCAAGATCTGGCTACATACCAGCAAGTTTCTCTAAAGTTAATAGGGAAAATCCATTAATGCATTCTGTTAATGTTTTAAAAAAAAAAAAATTGTTAAAATAATTAAACAGCGTTAAAAGAAAAAAAAAATTGGCTCTTGGTTTATTTGTAAGAGCCTGAAATATTGATTAATCCATACCAAGACATGATATAAAATATCCATCCACGTGAATATTTCAATAGAAAAAAATATGCTTTATTAGATTTTAAGGGGAGATAAGAGTTCTTTTACCATAAAGCCAAGAAATTGTTCCTGTTGTTAACCAAAAATTTCAAGCAACGTTTAGAACAAATGATTACATTTTACACTGAAATCTCATTGCAGAAAACCTCTGGAGCTTTTCTGCATTTAAGAAATGAAAGTTTATTACTCAGAGAAATAATTAGGGCAAAAAGATAATATCTCAAACGCTACTTGCTGTAAACGACTGGCCAACAGACATCACTGCAGTGGGGTCCTGGCTTTATCGGCCAACACTGTGTGATATGGTCTTACTTGCTCTTTTGATTCACTAGACCATATAGAGATACAACTTCAGTAGAAAGCCCTGATCCACTCCTCAGTCATACTGTTAAGAGTATTTGTTGAATTATGGATGTGTAAGCAGTGGTTCAACAAGGTCAAAGGCTGATCCAATAACTTTGAGGAGTAAAACCTGTTAACCTGATTATGAAGAAAGCCAAGCTGTTCAGATCTTGCCAGACCCTTCACTGTAAAGATGTGAAAGCCAACTCTGACCTCACAGGTCTTGAGAGAGGAGTATTCAAGAAATTATCAAAATGTGAATACGTACTGTGCACTTCTTACTAATCTAATCACAGATGATCCTTCAGGGTGGGCTTTTTTTGCTGTGTTTTTGCATTATAAGGGCAGTAAATATTAAGTGAAGTTCAAAATAAGATGCATGTGGTTAGAAAAGTTGATAAGAGAAAGATGAAATATTGTAGTGACTTAGCTAATGGAATTTCTTCTGGACTGTCATAAAACTTTATACTAGATGTATGAATAAGCAAAAGTTTTGTTTAATTTATGTGTAGATACATTTACAGAATTATAATTCTCATTATTATATGCAAAGAAGAGAGATAGGAGTAATTAAACCTATCCTGATCCCTAAGAAAGACAGACGTCTAATTGCTATCTCTGAGTGGTTCAAGAGACTAATAAAAGCCATATATAAAAAAAACCCTCACACTTTCTTTTGACTGTCACCATCTCTAGGTATAAGCATCAGCATAGTTAACTACTAACATTTTTCTGAGCCTCTGTGTGTCCGTATGATCTTGTGTTCGTTTCAGTCAATCAGCTAAAGAAGCTAGCCAGTCATCCTTATTACTGCCAGGATAAATTAATTTCTAGAGCTTATTTCCAAGTCCTCGTTGTGTTAACACAGTTCCCTTCAAACTCTCAAGGCACAGTAATGCTGGATTACTTGGTCTCTGACTCTACAAAATTAGCACATCACAAGAACTTGGCTTGTCTTTTCCTTGAGTATTTGAAAATCAAATCACCTCAGGCAAGCTGGTCCTGGTCATATTCATATTTATGGGCTTATTTTATTCATTTACCTTCAATTAAAGATCAGACAAGCCTAGAAACCAGCAGTTTTGTCTGCATTAGAAAGCAAACTTTTCTGTTTTATTGGCAAATGGTCTGCTTGTCAGATTACATGATTAACCTCTGCTGGAGGTTAATCTGCAGTGCCAAACATTCCTATAAACAAATACAGATACTTTTTGTGGATCACAGGGTTTATAGGGCATGCTGGTCTGGCAGCCTGCTGCCCCTGGTCTGGGCGACCAGGGGTACAGAGCACTCAGCAGTAACTTTCAGTCTAACTCCTCCAGCACTTGCCATTCTCAAATCAGAAACCCCAACTTATCCAGAACAGAGGCTCTTTCAGGTAAGGGAGCTACTGAACACTTTTCCAAATGTTTTCTAAGCTCTTCAAGGTGAATTCTGGTTCATCAATTGAAGTAAGGAGAGGGATGAGAAAAGAAGATGTGATTAATAACAAATTGCAGTCTGCCAGTTGTTCCCCAAATCTATTTCAGCAGCATGCCAGTATCTAAGACATGCAAATGACCAATCACTGTGAGTAATGTGGCCTTCAGCTTTCTTCTCGTCACCTTTAATATCTGGGCTTTTCCTTCTCTAGCTGCCAAAGTCCCACTGAGAAGGCCAGTCTTGAAAGAGAGCAGTCGTGTTTCTCTAATTGGCAGGAATCAGTTCAGCCGGCTTTAAAGCCTTTGCTCAGAAGATTTGACCCAAATATAGGCTTCAAAGACAGTTCTCTAGTTTCCTAATTATCCAAATTCCAGATTATTCAAAGGTTTCAGGTGTTGCCTCTGTCTGATAGCTGGATAATCAAGGTTATACTGTATACAGAAAAAAGCCAAGAACTCATTGTTTGATGTATAAAACAGAATAGAGGTCTAAAACCTCATTTGTCTCAATAAATGGTACTACAAATGCAAATTTAAGATTTGGTGAGTCTATCAGTGAGACATTTCCAGTGCTTGTGGTAGTTTATTTATGGAGGACATGCTAATGTTGTGCCTAATTATTGCTCTATGCTTGCATTTAGTAGGAAATAGTGTTTTTATTTCCTTTTAAAAGTCTTAACTGCTGGTTTTATGTCACTAACCTTTCCAGTCATTAAAATTAATAGGTTTTGAAATGTCTAGTTTGCTTTTTTTTTTTTTTTCAAACTGTGTGGGGATTTTATCTACCTAAAGATATCCACAACCTCTTGGGATTCTGAAAGGTCTCAATAATGATGAGGTGAGAGCCAATGAAGATGACAGTCTTTTATGCTGGGAAGTTGCAGATCTGTTCATATTGGGAGGATTGATTTTCTTTCATGTTTTATATCATACACACTATAATTGACCTATCCTTTTAACTCATTCTGAAGCTGCGCAGGCTACAGGGATTATTATTGTCATGCTAATATTTACGCCATCAGTTGTATTCCATCTTGCATCATGTATTCTCATGTGTGTTAGTCAGAATATCTTTTCTTCCTTGGATGGGGAAATCTGAAGCCTGGGAGTTTATAAGAACATAGAAATGGCTTTACAGGATCAGACCAAAGGGCCACGTAGCCACTCTGCCATCTCGAAGCACGGCCATAAAACTCTTCCTTCCCTGTGAGGGTTCCATCGTTTGTTAGTGTTAGGCTGGCTCCTGCCTGGAGAAAAGTTCAGTACAGAATGTATTTTTGGGAAAACGTGTGAGTCTGGCTATTTTTTGTGTCCCCTTCTCTCATGCTCCTCCAGCATTTGCAGTTTTTACTTTAGGGATGTTAGGGGATTCTGCTTTTTGCAAAGCTTTTCAGAAAAACATGCAAAGCTATATTTTTTTTTAGAACAAATCATTGTCAATGTCATGTCAATATTTTTGCATGGATGAATAGCATAATATGTATCGTAAACTTACACACCGCATTTGGAAAAAAACGAGAGAGTCATAAGCAGATGCCTAAGGAAGAGTAAGGAGGACAGACATACACGAGTTTCCATCTACTCCTCTGGCAGCCTCCACCTGTTCGCAGCTCTTGGACTGCATTTGCTCAATGTGGTTTCTGTGTGTTTAAGTCTTAGACTTCTCTTCCATTAACTTGTTCAGCCTCTCTTGAGCTCCTGTAAACTTTTAGTATCTGCAACATCTTCTGGCAAATAAAGTGACTATCCAATGCATGTTCATCCTTCTCCTTTTGTTAGTTTTGAACCCAGCTCCTAGCATCACTTGAATTCAGCTGTTAATAGCTGTTGATAGTTTTGTATTTTTATATTCCCATTTCAAAATACTTTATTGATACTTCATAAATTACTTTGTCCTTCACCTATTGTATGAAGAAGTACTATAGAGCTTAAGCCCTCCATTTATAGGCTCTAATTTAGAAAATAATTAATGAAAATAGGATTGAAGCATGTATTTAAAAATCAGCATATGCACTAGGACTGTCTTGAAGTGAGATTTTTAAATGTTCTAATTGCTTTACTTTTTATTTAGTAATGACTTCATGCTTGCTTAAAGCTTCAGTTGTCTCAGATTCACCGTGTCCAAATTCATACCCTGCGCCAGTGACACAGCCCAGGTGCTACATGCTGACCGCTGAATATTTTCTTTTAGCTTGGTTTGGAGAAGACATGGCAAATGAATATGTCCTGTGTGGTGGAATGTCCTGTGAACTGTCAGCTCTCTGACTGGTCCCCTTGGTCTGAGTGCTCTCAAACATGTGGCCTTACAGGTCAGTATTTACCTTTGACATATTGTAAAGACTAAGCTTTTTTTTTTTTTCCTGTAATAAAAGTAATAATATCTGTTTTCACAGAACTAGAAAATGTAGTTAGCTAAGGAGAGTGATGAGGATCTAAATCAGCCTTATTCATAGAGATAAGATGCTTTAATGAGACTGTACTCACTAAAGACAATGAGAATTTGGCCCAGAATAGTTTCTGACTCTGGCAAGAAAGTGATGAATGATATATTGAGACAAAAATAAACACTGATGTGAATATTTATTTTTCAGCCAGTGGGAAGAGGAAGAGAAGGGAGGGATTTCCTCTTAAGTTTCATTAGTGGTGAGTTTAGAACAACTAAATTTGCAGAAGAGCATAATGATTAAAACCAACAAATCACCACAGAATTCCATATTTTTAGACACAGAACAAGGATGGGAGGACTAGTTACTTTCACTGTAAGCACATTAATTTTTTTCCAAAATGTTCTTAACAACTATCTAAGTTTTTAAAAATCAAATCTATATCAGAGAATGGATATCAAAGGCATGTTCTAGTTATGGAGGGACTCTTGTTATTGATTTCCACTGATATATCTCAGAATAGGGACCTGAAAGCACCATTGTGCCAGGCAACTAAGGTATACAGACTACTGAAAGGGAAAGGTAGAAGCTCATCTATGAAGACTCTTCATTCTGTAATCGTGTCTGGAATATGTCACTACCTATTGGATGGTTAGCAGTGTATGGAATCCAATTTGAACTGCTGGGCTCAGCGTAAAAGGATATTGCATCTTTTTGTGTGCCTTGGGGAGTGCACAGCAGGGAAAAGGTTTAGACAAAAACATCTGAAAGCATCTGGCCACCTCAGGATCCCAACAGAAAGACCTACGGATTTTTTTATGATAACAGTTAATAATTTGGTCCTGCAGAATCTAATAATGTAATAATATTTCAGTTTTTTGAGCTTCTCTCAAAGCATGACTTCTATATTCAAATAATCTAGACTTCTGTATTCAAAATAATCCTTATAGAGCGTGAATTGAACTAACAGCTCTATTGAAGGCTTAAATATGTTGCCAGATTTTCCTTTACAAGCTTCTGTTTATATGTCAGACCTGAAGAATTGACCTGATTTTTTTCTGAATGAGAATTATTGTTGCTATGCTTTTTCAAGATGTGATGGTGGGTCATTATCAGAAATCCCTGTGCTTTCACAGTATAGAATTCATTTGTAGAAGTGAGAAAATTGATTTTAAATAGTAATGTAAAACAGCTTCAAAATTTTCAGTGTTTTTAACAGATGATGGCAACCTCACATGTAAGCCTTGAAGCTGTTATTTTCCTATTAGGCAGGATGTTAGAAGTAACTGCAGTTTTTCAATAAGTAATAACCATCTAATAAACACACAAAGCTGAACTGCTTTTATGCACTCATGCAAATGCCCATAAAGTTAAGGAAGAATTCTGTATGCATGAATCCTGCTTGTTGCTGTTCTTTGGGTTTTTTTCTCCAGTACTTTTCAAGAAAATCTTTTTTCTCCTGTGACATATCAGTTGGAGCAGCTGTGAATCCAAGAATGATGAGGCTGCACTTGGCAAACATCTTTCTAGCTAGCTGCAGTGAACACAGCTGTCTGGGAGACTGATATATTTCTGCTGCTGCATTGTGGCTTGTGTAGCTTGCACTCAGCACAAGATTTGTGTCATGATCATTAGGGTGTTCAAATCCAAATGCCTCAGATTGAAATGTGAAATTAAAGATGAATTGTTTTGGCCAGCTAACAGTGGGTGTTATGTAGGTAAATTTATGTAATGCCTTAGTTTATTATAAGCCTCAGTATACAAATTTAAATATATACATTTTGTTTCAGACTTGGTTCATGTATGTATCTATATATAGATTAAAATACCAGAGCTGTGATGGTTTTGTGGAAACATTTGCAAGGTGCCAAGTCTAGAGCAGCCACTTTACCACTGCTTCTGGAATACAAAAAATTTTTTGGTTATATCACATGACCTCTCTGTAATGAAGCATAATAGTCTAATGTCCACTGTAAGATGAAAGAAGAGAGAGTAGCTGGAAAGATAAAAATGTCTTCCTGTTTATGTAAGTATTTGAAATAGAACCTGTATCTCAGTGATGCTGGGTAGCGTGCTACTCATGGTTGAAGAGAAGATTAATGTTGGATAAGCCTATTGTATTTTAATTTTCTTTGGATCTGAGCGAAGAATCCTTCATCTCTTGCAAAATCTGTATGGCACATTATCCAGACAGACAGTGAGGAAAGGTGCAAGCTGTTCCTCGTTGCTGGAATCAGACAATCATGGGACACGTGAATCTGTATTAACTTGGGGCAGAACAGAACGTGTTGGTCTCTTCTAGCAGTAAACTCCAGATGAAGAGCCACAATCTCCACTGAAGTGCCACAAACATATTGTCATGTTCAGAAAGAGTATTTTTTCCCCAGGCTTCTGAACTAGGAAGTTACTACTTTTATTGTTACAGGAGCAATCAGAATCCTAATCAGACATCCTCCTGCTCTTCTTGCAGTACAAACAAATGACAAAATATGAAATGTCTCACTTGGAAAATATAAGTCCATGTAACATACAAGAGCCAACAGATCTACTTTACAATCCAATTTGTCAAATGTGGAAAAAATTACTTTACAAGACTTTTCGCCAAAATAAACCGATCTTGAAGAATAAATTAGTCTAACCACTTTGTTGGTAGTTATATTGCTGTTTCCTATTTACAGGAAAAATGATCAGAAGAAGGACCATAAATCAGCCGTTTCAGGGTGATGGGAGGCCTTGTCCTTCTCAGATGGAGCAATTCAAACCCTGTCCAGTAAAACCTTGTTATCGGTGGCAATACGGTCAATGGTCTGCATGCAAAGTAGAGGTAAAAGCCATATGGGACTTTGAAGTTATGGAGCTTGTATATCTAGGCATATTTGTGATATGCTCAGATACCTGCTTCATAACACTGCAAACAATTAGCTTCCACCGCTCTTATACTATAACTAAACATTTATTCTTAGAATTCATATCTGTCAACAGATACAACAATGTCCTACAGATATTCAAAGTAGAAATGTAAACTTTGGTACTTGAGCAGCAACTTTGCTAATAATTCAAATCTTTCTATTGTAAAAGAATATCTGTGGAAATAGGCATCCTGGAAGAGATCTCCACTTGAGATACTGCCGTGGTTGCAATTTAAAGGCATAATTAGCGCCATACTTCAAGAAACAGTGGTAGCAGCCAGCAGAATTTTTGTTTTGTTTTGTTTTGGGGTTGGTTGGTTGGTTTGTTTCAGAAGTAAAGATAAATGTCTTTCCCCCCCGCTACTGGAATGAATAAGTACTTAGGCAAAGAATAGTAGGAGACAGAGTGACATGTAGCTCAGATCTAGTCTTTGGCACTTTCTTCTGTCCAGCATCCATGTATGTCCTCCTTCCCCAGGACGCTCAATGTGGAGAGGGAACACGAGTGAGGAACATTTCTTGTGTGGTTTTTGATGGATCTGTTGAAGATGTTGGCAAAGTAGTAGATGAGGAATTCTGTGGAGAAATAGAGCCTATTATAGATGGTAATAAGAAGATGATACTTGAGGAAACCTGCACTGTCCCTTGTCCAGGTAAGCTATTCAAATAAATGTTGCATTTCAAGATTTGTTGGGTGTCATTACAGTTATCAGTGCCTAGCATTAGCCACAGGCAATTAAATCTTTTCCACGTGTCTTACTAATTGGATTAATCCATCAAATGACCAACAGAGTTACTTTCCCACAGTGGCTTCATGACAATAAATCGATTAGAAAAAATACCAGGATTTAAATTTTATAAAAGGCATATCTCAGTCACAGATTTTACCTAATAAGAATATGTTTTTTTCACAAAATCTTTTGAAGTAAAAGCTGTGTTTATAAGAGTGTTGGTTTACAGTTAAACATTTACTTTAAGTGCTTAGATCACCTAACAGCTTTATTAATACTTTTAACAGTGGCTAAGAACTCGGTGCTTTTTACCGGTGTCAAAGGAAGCAAAGCTAGGGAGTCTTATTTTTTTGTTTAAAGGGGCTATTCCAAATGAAACTAATATTTTGATCTCTGAGAAAATGTTAGTGCCTCTAGATGTTTAACTCACTGGACATGATGTGCACTATCCTTGCCCTTGTAGCCTGCATTCAAAGGAGCTGTTATAAATGATCAGGTCCATGACCCTCATGCTGAAAAGAATTAAGAGCCTATAACAGCTGTTTAATTTCCAGTAAAACCCCTCCAATTCATTTCAAAATTATTTGTAGAATCTGAAGTCTATTGCTGTTGTTCAGTAGAGTCATTAGTGATGTATCTTCAGAAGTACTGATTAACTCCATCAGTTCTAATGTAACTATTATTCTATACTAGCGATTTGCTTTTATTCTCTTGCAACTCTCCTCTTTCTCAGACTTTTTTTCCAGTTCATTTCAGATTAGATTTGAGGTAAAGGGGCCTCAATAAATAGAAAATAATCAAAAATGGAGAGGCTTCCATCATTGCTTTGTGCACAGCATTCCAATTGCATGATTTTCACATATTTTTACTTATTAAATGAAAATTGGAAGAATAAAAACTTGTAGTTATCTTTTCTTGTTAGCAGCTATATTTTTTTAATATAAATTTGACTTACTGCTTTCTTTTAAAATTTTGCTGAGCAGGAACCTGTTCTTCAACAATCTCACACTTAGCCAGCAAGAATAACTGCCCTGTGGGGATGTGCTAATGATACGCTCCAACTAATGTTTCCAAAAATCACTACTTGTTTTCCTATTATGTATACATCAGTTCTTCAATTATTCATTTCTTCGCATGCTTTCCTAACGTTGGCAAATAAAATTCCTTCATTAATCAGGCATCTGGTCAACACAGTACTGATTATAACTGTCATCGGTATAATGCAAGGTAGCATGAATTTTTAATAGCTCTTTCACTGAAATAATGAGAACTAAGAGGTTTATTTATGAGTCTGTGCACAGTCTAGTTCCATTTTCTACTGCAGTTTTAACAAAATGGTCTCTTTGTGTTGTGCCTCAGATCTTCCTTAAATGTTCTTTATTCGATCATGCTAATTAGTGTCATTAGTACAATTTTTTTTTCGGTTTTACACTATAAGATAACATTCTACCAATCTCTATTACCATAACATGAAATAGCCAGAGCAGACATTTTAATCACCTTCCCATTTCCATTTCTTGCAAAGAATGTTCCAGTTTCTCTAAACTGTCTGTTTACAGAAAAATTTACAAAAATCCAGACATTGGATGGAGTGTTACTCAGAAATTCAAAATGAGAGTGGTCTTATGGGAATGCTACAGGAAACTACCCTGCTTTAGAACAAATAGGCTTTTGTATAATCTTTTCATTACTATTTTTTGCTGCATAGATATTCAGCGAGTGTCAAAATATTACCTTCTCTTAAGTATAAGACACATTTAAAAAGAGGAATGAAAGGAACTATAAAGAAGGAAAATAAAGAAACCAGATTTTGACTTTTTTTTCTAAGATATTCAGTGCAAAATACTCTTTACATATGATGATCGTTCATCTTATAAAATTACTGTTTGACAGGGGACTGTTACTTGAGAGAGTGGTCAGAATGGAGCCTTTGTCAGCTAACCTGTGTTAATGGTGAGGATCTCGGCTTTGGAGGGATACAAGTTCGATCTCGGGCAGTGATCATTCAGGAATTAGAGAATCAACATCTCTGTCCAGAACAGGCTTTGGAAACAAGACCATGCAGTGGTAAGCACAGAAGTACACATAAGGCAAATTCCTGTTAAAAAAAAAATACAGAACAACAATAGTTTTGTTTTCTTTCTGTTCATGGTACCATATTTAGGCAAATACAGATTTGATAGTTGTACAAATGCACTTAAATTTTTGTTTTCCAAGTATCAACTGTAAATAGAAAATCTTTCAAATGCTATTATGTGTTACAACTTTTGACACAATCTTTGGAGAATTGATGATCCTTCTCTAATAATTAAATTTCTTTTTATTATATATGAAAAAATAGTTGCATTATCTGCTTGATAACATTAATAAAAAGAAGTCTTTAAGTTTTGATATATAACCAAATTTAGATTTCTCTCCATCCTTTGAATTGTTGTTAATCACATGACAATGACATTAAAAAGTCTCAGTCATGCTTACTGCTGGTACTGGACAAAGTAGCTAAGAAAAGTCATTTCCTGTACAGACGTTTCTTGTCCATTCAGAGGCCAGACAGTTCAGGCAAAATGGAATTTTATATTTTTAAGGGAGCCAAGGTGCAGAAGGACTTCATGATTTAGCCCAGGCCATATGAGAGGTGTACAGCAGAGCCGAGTTCTGAAGCCAGATGCAGCCCAGGCCACTTCGCCAAGCCCTGGAGCATTGACTGAAGCTCAGTGTTACTGGGAAAGGAACCTGACTCCTTAATGAGTTTGGTGCAACAGATGGGCCGCGACCATTATGAGGTTATTGGTAACATCTGTTTTGCCCATTAACTACATTAGGCTTACTTCACAGGCAGTGTGTACAACTATTATAATTAGTGTTCAGGACACATCTGGTGTATTCTGTATGTATCCAGTAAGTGCAGGAGACCTTGGGGCCTCTATGTGTGCAGTGCACCCTTCTAAGTTGCTGGGTGAAGGAGGAAGGGGCCTATTTAGCCATAAAAGCCATTAAACATAATGAGTATGGTCTACTGAGGAGTGTGGCTGCCACCAGTGGTAGCCTAAAATCTTGTCATCAAATTCCTTGAAAAGTGAATGTTCTCTGTGTAGATGGCCAGTGCTATGAATACAAGTGGATGGCTAGCCCATGGAAGGGATCTTCTCGAACCGTGTGGTGCCAAAGGTCAGATGGTTTAAACGTCACAGGTAACTACTCTTTTTATAAACTCAAAAAAAGCCTGGAAAACAAGTGGATAATGTCTTTTCCCAACAAATGGAAATATGTTTTTTTAAAGAATCTGCTAAAAACACTTGTTCATAATATATGAAACTATGTGCTCTTGTCTTGAATCATAACATTTTTGCGTACTAAAGTTGTCATTTTCTTTTCCAGAATTATGCAGATGTAATGCTAAAAGTAAATATAAATATTATGTTCTGTATTGGACCTGGAACGTTCTACATTGTTGGGGTTTTTTACTGTAGACATCTTTACACTTCTAAATTTAGGAGTTTAGATTTCAAGCCCTATGACAAATAGAACTCGTATGTATTAAAGTTTATTTCAGTACCTATGTAGAGGCAGAGAGAGATGAAAAGCTTGATAATATCATGCATATATCATATCTCCTTAAATTTACAAAATATCACATTTTAATAAATGTGCTGATATAAATTTATTTCTTTATGTCAATGACATAAACCTATAGCAGGATACTTCAGTGGACAGCTACGTCCACTATGGATGTAGTTACTTTTTATGCAAGCCAAAGCACTAAACACCATGCATTAAGAATGACTCAGGTCTCCTAATTCAAGAAAATCTTAATATGTATCTGTTTGTATGAATTTATTTATCAGAATTAGGGATTGATTTGAGCTAAGAGTTACGCATTTGTTGTTTAAATAATTTTTATGTCAGGCCAGAGATAGAAAAAGAATCCCAGCCCATCCTCAATGCCAGCCACTGCCATGTCAGTCACAGGAGCTCTAATTCATGGACTGCCAATACAACACTTCTTGATAACGGAACCCACCACTACTCTCTGTTGTAACAGAATAAAATATCTGTGTTCTTTTTACAAGGTTTTGAAATAATACTTAATAGTCCAAAGTGTCTTTTGCAAGTGTCACCTTGTGCTGTAAGAATATTAAAATGCATCATCTTCTTAATGTATGCAACAGGGCATTATTTATGCACCTTGATTGCTTCCTCCCTAGCGAAGATGCTTGTGTGGTAACTCTAAGTACTAATTCTTACTAAGATTAATATATGATTGTATCTATTAAAGATCCCACAAAATTTTGAAATAAATAGTATCTTGGTGATTATGGCTCTGAGATGTTAAAATCAGAATATATTCACAAATCACAGTCAGTCACATAAAAATAATAGATTGTTCTGATGTGACTGAATACAGCCATGTGATAAATTGCAGGAAAGACAAGTATGTGAATAATATGAATATGTGTTGTTGGCAGATTTTTCATGACGGGACCTCCTAGGCAGACTAACCTCAGACCTATATTGTATCTTTTTTTTCAAAGTTTATTTGTATGTGGTTTTAAAACTGTGCTAACTTTCTGATTTGAAACGAAGAGTAGTGGAAAATTCCCTACAGTGTAATCACCAGTTTCCAAGCAATGTAAAACTATAGTTTAATATGTTCCTGATAGTTTTCAAATAAAGCACTTAAGTATAATGTTCTGTGAGAACTTCTCTGCATGAAGTATACATTTGTGAACCAGATTGTAATTTACATTTAAACATTTTTTTTGAAAGTTGTTTGTATAAACTACAGTATTTAAGAGATCAAACTGATAGATGCACATACACCATTGATTTAAATGGAGATTACTTACTTTGATCTAGAATCAACCCATATCTATGATTACTGTTTCTTTGCTGCCTTATGGCTGCACATTTGGCTATAATACAGTGTGTTTTAATTTAGACATTATCAAATTCTTATTATGAATTCCGTTAGTATTTTAAGGCCTTTATTTATTTACTTACTTGCATAATATTATTGTGCTGAATAGTTCTTTTTCACTTGAAGGTTTTGTTTCCCATGGGCGATGAGGCAACTCTTTCCTTCTGCAGCTTCCTTGGATGACTGATATTTTATTACATAGATTCCCACAGGCATGTGATTTGTATGCTAGGATGTACAATTTTCCTTTCTGGGGGTGGGGAAAACTTATGGCAACCAGCAGGGTTTTCTTTGTTCTTCATCAGCCATCCCCTTAACACTTGGATCTACATAACCACATCTAACTGCATCTGCTACAGTTGTGACCAACCTCAGCTATCAGGATTTCATCATCATATCACACCAGTGTAAAAATGTTAGTAACTGGGAGATGTAATATAATTCACTATGTAGCAGTATAAATTTTAAACTACATGATGCGTATCCCTCTTCTGTAAGCTAGAAGGAAACTCAGGTAAATTCAAACTGATTCTAAATGTATTTTAAAGTCATTCTGGCTGAAATGATCGTGAAAGCCTGATTGTGTGCATTGGTCCATAACAATAACTGCACTGTACATAAAGCTGTAGAAATGAGAACTAGGACTGTACAAAAAGGAAAAAGACAGAAACCCACTATATCGTCAGTATCATAGCATTCAGTACATCTTTACTGATAATGCTTCTTTCCTTCCAAAAAATCTGTCTTAGATTAGCATAAGTGTGGCTTCATAAGAGGCAAAGCTATAGCATGTTTAAAAGTGAATACTGAGGAACAGCAGAAAACAGGTATTGATTCATAAACTGGATGAATAGTTTGTTTTCAGTTTAAAAGGCAAAGATATAAATAAAAAATATGCTTTTATTTTCTGCATGGCCACAGTTTTAATATGTAAGTCATAAGGAGGACCCTAGACAACCAAAATCTGTTCCCTCAAGCACAACAAAACATTTAAACTGTTTTTCGAGCCATCCACTAAAGGAACAAAGGGAAAAACAAAAGCTTCACTTGCCAAATATTAGTTCTCTAAAATGAACACGAATGCAAATACATGTGCTGTATCCTTACTCTACCTATAAGAAAATACCGGATACCAATTATCCTTCACCTTGGAATAAGAGGAGGACTCCGAAATTCAAATTGGCAGTAAAATTGTAATCCATGACATACTATAGCAAGTAGTGACATCAGTAATTTCATCAGTGGTGAGGTATTACCATGTGAAAATATGATTTTCTGTCCTACAGGGGGCTGTTTAGTGATGCGCCAACCAGATGCTGACAGGTCATGTAACCCACCGTGCAGTCAACCCCACGCTTACTGCAGTGAGGTATGTGCTACTGCATTGGAGCATAGAACAGCCCCGTGAGGGCTTCCCACACATCTCTCTGCATTACAAAGATTATACCGACAAAAAGTATTTTCAGAGATTTTGCTAATTATTAATTTGTGAAAATCAACTTCAGACCATTTTCTACCTTTAAATTAAATGTTGAATAATCTGTGTTGATTTGGTAGAAACCTGCATAAAAATATATGAAGAGGTACCCTCCAGGCTAGCACTTATTGAAACAGTCTTCTCTTACAGTCGTCCATATTACTATGCTTTATAGCTCACAGAAAACTGTGTTTTTCTGCTACACAGTATAAAACACTTGTTCCCTACAGACTAGAACATGCAGTTGTGAAGACGGATACACTGAAGTTATGTCCTCCGATGGCACACTCGAACAGTGCACTCTCATCCCAGTGGTGGTGATCCCCACCATGGAGGACAAAAAGGGAGATGTGAAAACCAGTCGAGCTGTGAACCCTACCCAGCCCTCCAGTAACCAGTCAGGACGAGGAAGGACCTGGTTTCTGCAGCCATTTGGGCCAGGTGAAGTCATGCAATGAGCAGTTCTTAATGCTAAGTACTGGCATTTACATTTTTCTGATGCTGAGGAAGAAAACAAAAAGCCTTAATTGTACATTTAAGAAGACAGGCATCTGCTCTGCCTGAAAACAGAGGAGACATAAGCAAACCTTCTCAGCTACTCTATCTACTCCATATTCAATGAAATCTTATATTGCAGAATATTTCCTTTTAATCACTTCTACCTGTTAAAATTCACAGAAGCTATTTGAAATGTGACTTTAGAAGAGAGTTGGCTGCAAAAGTGCAAGCCAGGATATTAGATTACGTTGTCTCAGCCAATAACGCTTTGTCAGAGCAGTGAAATGGTAGCACTGAAGACTGCAAAGTTTAAGGGCTGCTTAAAATTTGCAGCCATAATATAAATTGTAGGAAAATAATCAGTATAGATATACTAATGCTTCTCTGCCATATCTATATTTAAATTAATTCATATTAGACAAGCTAAACTTTTTATTGATATTTAGCATAGACATGCTCTAAGTCTCTATTGTTTATGGTGGACCATGTTCTTTAGAGCTGAGCAAGGACTAATATGCAAGAGTGGCAAGAAATACAAGACAGTTGTCCCATCAAAAATACTTTATGAAGTCTATCATATAATCAGATTTCAGTAAATATTTCCTGGTACTATTAAGCATTGAGATAAATAAAACTTTAATTAACAAAATACTTTCACATAAAGAGATATGATTGCTTGTTTAAAATGTTAATTATATGAAGAGAGCAATTGGTTAACTTCTTAAGTGTCTTTTAAATATATAGAGCTAAATATTCTAACACACTTGTGTCTTAGGGTTTTCATTTCTTTCTAAAGCTTTTATGGATGTTTTTAATCTGAAAATTGAAAACAGTATCTTTACATGCATAATCAGTAAAATGCTGCAAATGTAAAACTACAGCAATACATCTAGTAAGCAGATTAAAACATGTTCGGGTTAGAAATACTTATGTTAGATCCCATTAGTCCTACTAGTATTTACTGTTATTTGTAATGTGATACTATATTTGACACCTGCAATAAAATGGTCTTTACTCCAATTAGTTCATACTTTAATCCACAATAAAAAAAGAAAATTAAGCTTTTCCGGTCCTCTTTTAAAAAATAGCATCTTACCAAATCTGTTATCTTTTACCCATTCTAGCTAAGTCCACCTGAAAATACCAGAGGGTGGGTTGTAGCAGCCAGAGTACCAACAATAAGCAAATGTCAGACAGTCGCCTTCACCTATTTAGGAACTTGGGTGCTTATGTGAGCTCAAACATGGTTTTTGGAGCAAGGAAAAGCTGAGGGATTTCATGAGAACTCACCAATTTGCTAGTAATTCAAGTTAGGAAGGAAACATAGCTCAGATAAAAACAACAGTATTCCGTAGAACTAATACTTCACCCAATGAAGGTATGAGGAAACATGGAAGCAAGTGAACATTTTGCACTTCAGATGAGATTTGTGATTGTTTGTTTTAATTCCAGGATTGGGTATCTATTGGAAAGGTTTTGATTTATTCTAGCATGATTATTCCTTTCCTCACAGTTCCTAAGTCTAGATTTAAAATAGTTGTTTCACTATCTTCAACCAATTATATTGCAGCTCTAAAAAGAAAGGTATTAAAACTATCCTCTTGAGGTGTCTCTGCCTCTTTGTATTACCCAAAACAGTTGAGTTTGAGATGCCAATTCCCTTGTATACTTAGAAATAATCTGTTCAGGGGGAATTCAGAAACCCTGAGTTAGATGTCTGTAGTTGCATAATAGGAATGACCTCATTAACAGATTTCCGTGCTTTGACAAAAACAAATAAATCCATCCACAAGATAATGCCAGTCTTTTTTTCAAGGAGATAATACTATTTTAAGACACACAACCTGAAAACAAGCTGAAACCCCTTACATTTACCAATGGAAATAAGCCAAGAAGAAAAGAAACTAACCTATTTAGGGTACTGAAGTTGAATTCCTCTCGTTCGTATTATCATATCATTGGACATGTCAGGTCAAATCTACTGTTCAATTCATCTTTCATGGATCAGTTATTTCAGTTATATCAGTTATTATCAGTTATAATGTTTCATTAGGTTGATTAATGTAATGAAGCTAAAATGTTTTTATATTGATTAGACTTGAACAAGTTGTCCACATGACTGCAAGACTTTGCACTGCCAGAGAACAGAAAGCCTGAACTTAACTGCACAGCAATAGAGAGTGCTACTGTGAATCTGAGCAAAGTCAGTCTGACTAATTTTTGTTATTATTAGGTTTTAGGAACATCAACTGCCTCGGTAATGCCTTTTTGTTCTACAGAGATATCAGGAAGCAATAAGTATTTGGTCAGAAAAATTTTAGCTGTGTTTGCTTACATTGAAAATATACATGACCATGAAATAAAAATTTTGCCACTTGTAAATGAAATAATTTAGGTTTTTAATGGAATTTTCCTTGTCAAGGAGGTGCAACAAGGCTAGCTAACCTCCTGTAAAAGAATGTTTTCAAAAACCTATTTAAAAATTTGCAAAAGATAAGTCAGATAAAAGTATTAAGTCAAACAGCACGCACTGACCTTGGGTTCTGACATGCTTTTTTGGGCTTCAGAGCAAAATCACACAGATAGAGAAAGCCACACCATTTTTCCTGGGAGAAGTGGGTGCATATAGGATCAAAGCAAGCAGGAGAGTGGGATGTATATGTAAGTCTGCAGGGACATCATGTCCAAAATACAAACTGCACAGGCTGCACATAAATACAGTCCTTATTAACAGACAGTTCTATTTATGAGCATGTGTTGTCTTTTTTTGGTGTATTTTTGCTTACTCTGTGAGGGGAAGTTGTATTATAACAACAAAACTTGCATTTGGTAGGGGAAGAAATTGAAAAATCATTACTTTATGCTGCAGTGAAAGTTGTGTATGTGCAGTTAAGGTATTTAAAAAACATTAAATTGAATAGCAAGAAGAATAATAGGCAGATGGATTTACCAGAGCTAGAATGGAAGGTGATGGTAACAGCATCAATGAGTCCCGGGCTGACAAGCTGCCCTGCGATCAGGCGGAAGGATTGCCAGCTACCAGTGCGCCCAGGGGCTGGGTTTCAGGGGGGGGTCTCGCTTGCTGCCTCTGCCCCACATCTTGGCTCCGTTCAGATTATCCAGACGTTGGCTGAAAAGCAGAACGCAAGTGCACAGAGAAGTTATTGCTCAGTTGTTTAAGCTGTAATTGCTACTGAAGACATATATTTTAGATAATAAAAGCATTTCTATACTATATCAGAACTAATAATTCAACAAGACTAACTCAAACACTACTGACTAACATTCATTCCTTTTAGATGGGAGGCTGAAGACCTGGGTTTATGGTGTAGCTGCTGGTGCATTTGTTTTACTCATCTTTATTGTTTCTATGATCTATCTAGCCTGGTGAGTTCTTTAATTATTTACAAACAAGCAGTCCCACATAGACTATAATGCAAGCATTTACATATGCCATTACAGAAAACTGCAGGCATTTCAGTGAACTGCAGTGCTTAGTTTTCCATGTCCTTTTGACCAACCTCAGATTAGTGGACTCTGGTTGTAGTCTGGATGATGGCTAAACACATGCTCTCCTGAGGCTAGAAGAACATCTTACAAATATGAGGTAGCTTTTAGTATAGTTCATTTTTGTCCAGTTTATCTCTGTTAAAAGAATGTAGTACGTCCATGATAATTTACTTGTGTCTGTATCACAAAATGCAGAGAGAAACAGCAAGAAGGAAATTTAGTAATCAGGCAGGTCAGATTTGATGTTTGGCAGGATACAGAGAGACACAACCAAAAAAAATCTGAAAACTTTCTCATGTGTTTTTCATACATGAAATAATATTTTGTTGAAAAATCTTAGTGCATGTGAAAGCAAAGATTTTTTTTGCAACAACAAATCACCTTTGAGATTTCACCTCCCTGAAGTTTTATAGGTCTTGTTTGGAATTTCTGATCCAAATGACTGTGCAAGTGGAAGGTGAGGGAAGTGTGGTCATACACATCAGGGTCTTGGCTGTACTGCATGAGTAGGCTTTTGGGATGCTTCTGGATTTGTTTGGCTTTTAGTAAATCTTTCCCAAAATCTCACTTCTGTCTAAGTAAGGAGCAAAATCTTTTACTTTGGGGGGAAAAGAAAATCCATTAGCATACAACTCCACTGCAGATTCTTTGGACTGGAATCTGTGGCCAATGCAAGCCACTGCCAACAATTGTTTTGGTAACAAAGAATTAGATTTGGGAAGCCTAAGTGACATAGCTGAGGTAAGATACTGGATGAGACTGAGGATGCACAGGCCTGATTTACAGAAATGCTTATATTACACTCTCAAAAAAGACAAGTACTAAAGCATGCATAAACATGCATTTTCCTTTGACTTGGTAATTTTTTAAAACTATATCAAATGGATTGGAAATACTGCTGGATTAAAATCTAATTCAGTACTAGACAGGGAACGATTATGGCTAACACCCATATCCCTGCTATTTATGACTGGTTTTATTATAACATCTAGAATTAACTGTAGTCATTCCAGCAAGTATAATGAGATGAAACTAATCAAAAGATGGATTTCCACAGTTTCCTGTGGAAACTCTTGATGTGACAAGAGAGGTTAAGGTTTGAGTCATATAATTTAAAAGAACCTGATTGCGGCTTTAATACATGACCAAATATTGCACTGCAGGCCCTGGGTTCTTCTGAAAACGGACTGATCTTGCAGGATTACCTGCTAAGGATTTCATCAAGTCACATCAGCACCTTAACAGCCTGTTTCTCAGCAACTGAACTTTGAATTAGATGTTGGTTTGGGTTGATAAAGAGATAATTACTGATCCAAGTGGAAGTTTTAGCCTTATAGCTTTTACAAATGAACGACCGAATGAATTATCTTAAAACAATGCACTCATCTTTCATTTAAGACTGAAATCCATCTTTGCTATGTTATTAGTTTCTTGTTCTATTTACAAATTATATTATTGTTTCAGCAAAAAGCCAAAGAAGCCCCAGAGAAGGCAGAACAACCGACTGAAACCTTTGACCTTGGCTTATGATGGAGATGCAGATATGTAAAATATAACTTCTCCTGGTGACCTATGGAGTCTAAATTAATGGATTGAAATCAGAAGGTATCCAAAGCCACAGGGATTTTCTATGGAGTGGATTAAGTGTTTTGACTTTTTCTTTTTGGTAACTGCACCGTAGATAAAGAAGGATGGATTTCATAATGCCTACGGATATTCAAGGTATTATTGCTTTACTTTAGATCATCAGCACTGAGAAATCTGGCAGAATCACATCAATAGACACTGCAGTTGGAGATTTGTGGTCTTTGCTCAGTCTTACAAACTATTAGCACCACTTCTATCTCCAGAATACTGTAGCTGACATAGTACTAACAGTTGGAAGCCCCTGCAACATTAACCAAGTATAATCAGTACGCATGAAGAGTTTGCACCAAGCTGTCTACGACTCTTTATATTCAAGCATAACGTATATACTCAGCTGAACCATATGTATTCCTCTATCAGATCATATACTTGTTAAAGAGCATTTTAGTGCTTAATACAATATTAGCTTTTAACTGGGATTAACCCACTGAGCAAGTTCAACAGTTTGCCAGTTGATGATAACTTGTGTTAACCTGCATTTCAGAGGGCAATGACTCACTTGCAAAATTCTGTCCTGTTATCACTTCAGAGTATAAAGGCCTCATATGTGCATCCAGAAAGGAGGTATTCTCGGATTCAGTATTTTCTAGCGGTTGCTGTCTGGAAAAAGACATGTAAATGTTACAATACGTTTCTACTTTCTCTAACTCAAACTGTTGCCTGCATCTTTTTTGCTACATGTAAGGCAAATTTTTGCACTATATTAGTGCAGCATGATATGCACTTAACTAGTATTGCCATAGAAACTGCCTCTTTTCAGAAAGGATGATGATGTATCTTGTGCAAGGAGTGTCAAGCAGACAGGTCTTGAATCCTGAAGAGAGTAGCGTTCGGTTTGGACTGCGACTGGATGGAATCGGCTAACGACGTGTACTGTACACACCGTTCCTTGTCACAGCGTCCATTTGTAGTCTACATCATGGCAGTAATACAAGTGTCTAGTTTCTTGCCCCGTTTATCTATACCGGTATAGATTGTCCCGCTGGTTTCTAATTGTACTTTGAAGGCTGTTTATGACTAGATTTTTTATATTTGTTAACTTTGTTAGAAAAAAAAAGAAAAGAAAAAGAAAAGTGGTTGCCCTGTAATCCTGAGTGACATACTTACTGTCTAAAAAGATATTCTGACTGTTTGTTCAACTAAAATAAAATGGCTTTGCTTTTTTTTCCCCTTCCACTAGTGAGAGCGTTTTCACTGTTGCTGACAGTGCGATACTCAGAGCTCTTTTGTCTTTTCTAATTAGGATAATTGAATAGACTTTTTTAATTATTCAGTTAAACTCTTGAGTGTACTGGCAAGTAAACAGTAAGATCAATAGTTCCGCCATTTTAATACTCACGACTTTTAAAAAAACTCTAGCAGTATAAAAACTCCCTGTTAACCTCTTCCATGCTTACGACTTTTCAGTGTTACACTTCCAACATGAAGCTCATTGACTTGCCACTGTATCTACATGCCTGTTACAGATGCAATTCATGACCTGAGAAGGGTTATGCTCATCAAATAGCTTCTATGTGTAGCCTGAACATACAAGTGACTGTGCCACTAATAAGCAATACGAAACTTTATCAGGCAACCTCTCAAAAATAATTGTTATATAAAGTTCAACATTAGGTTCTCAGGTCTTTTTTATAACCTAAACCATTTCTGCCTACTCATCATGCTATTTGCTCAAGAAGCACCAGTTTTTGTGCACTGAACAAAACTGTAGCTTTGCAAACTTTGGCCCACATTCACTGAAATTGATGACAAGGCTCTCTTGGACATCAGTGGGTAACATCAGTCCTTAAAAATACCTACATTTGTTCCATGTAGGATAATTCTTGGAACTGATGTGCATTTTGTGGATGTTCAAGAGAGATTATGGTCGTACTTAAACTTAGCTAACTTATATTACCAGTGTGATGCTACTGCATCAAGAAAATGACCTTCCTCCCACTGCATAAATATTTCCCAAATGGGAATTACGAGCAGAGAGGAACAATAGTAACAATCTTTTGCACAAGTTTAATGTCTCATTTTATACCTTGATCCGGCCGCAGCTGGTGAAGTGCCATGGCCCCCTGCCACAGCAGTGGTTCTTTCATATACGTGTTGCAGGACCGGGGGCTTCGGTCTGACATCGCTTTGTAAAGATCCATAGGAAAAAAAGACAAATCTTAATGATTTTAAATACTTCAGTATTCTTGGGTAGAAAACAAGAAAAACCTACTTGATTCCTATTTTGTCAGACAAACAAAACCAGCTATGGAAAAGCTATAAAGTCTTAAAGAATGATAACTATTATGCAGAGACATAAAGCTCAGTCATGATTTCTGTACTTTTAAAAGTCTGATTCTGTGTTTCAAATAGTATTGGACCAATAGCGAATTGAGGGAACAGGGTTTCTTTCATTGGCAACGAGTCATCTTTATTTATTATACTGGCTGGTCTTAGCAGGAGCTGTTGCCTAGTTCTTGCCTTGAAGGTTTTTATATCCTAAATCTAAGAATTTAGTAACTTGAAGTTAAAGGTATTCCATCTCCTTTTTCTCACTATATAAAATGGACAAATGGAGAAAGAGATAGGAAGTTTTTAAAAGTATGTTTGGCCTTTGCAAACCATGCAAGTGTTTTAGTATGTGTTACATTTTTATATCTGGTCAGTGAATCTTGCTGGTGCACATCTGCATCATACTAGTGCTGCATTTAAAATCTAGAGTGCATTTTTATTATAATTCCTTTTACAAACAAAGTGCACAGAAATTTGAGGCCAGAATGGCTTCCCTTGTTATCTAGAAAAAAATATTTGGCTGTAAGGTGGGCTGAAATTTTATGTAAAGTAAAAAGTTGCAAATGTGATTAAGCCCTTTAGCATTGAAACAGAAATAAATAACACGTGAATTATAAGTATAGAATCAAAAGCAATTTGCTTTAAAAATCAGAGTGCTTCTACAAATCCAGTGCCTAAAGCAGCCACTACTGTAGATTATTAGTTTGTGAAAGTAACGTTTCCAGTGATCAAATAAACCATTCAGAAAATAGCAAAGTAGACATTTTCCTGTTGATGTGGTGGTTTGTATTTTCCTTTTTAAATCTGTAGTTTCTAGATTACTGTGTCTGCTTTGAGTCCTGGAGCAGTTCCTTTTTGAAGCTTTGATGCAACTGCACAAGCTGTTTATATTTGGTATAAAGCATCAACTTTGAAATTCCTTTCCTCCTGCCCAAACGTAATAAAGTTTGTTTTCCAATATTACAATCTTAAGAGACCGATTTTAAAACTCTATGTATAAATCACTGTAAAATATACCTTGAATGAAATGGAAATTTGTCTTTTTACCTTTATGTAAATTGTGCTCACCCAAAGTTAAGAGTTTATTTTGCCTAACTTAATTTACTTGAATATTTATTTTGTAGAACAAGGAGGCAGCTGTCTGAGGAATGTTTACCTTTTTTTGTTAATGTTAATTTGTAAATTGTGTAATGCATTTTTATTTTTTAAATTATGTATATTTCTTTTTTAATGCACAAAATGTTTACGTACAACTACTGCAAATTTGTGTATATTGTCACTAAGCTTTATTCAGTTAATACAGATGACTTGAAAATGTAACAAGTCTTACATTTTCATCTGGGTTATTTTTACATAACTGATGTATTGCTGACAATAAATATAAACACAAAATCATTTAATGTCTTTTTTTAATAGATGTAGTATACTATGCTGGGGTAGAGTAACAATAAAAGCCAGATCCCTTTATGACCACTTTTTAAATAGTCTCATTTTTTCAAAGAAATTAGCAAACATTTTCTTGTTAAAAATCAGTATTTATCTTTAAAAAGAAAGAAAAATACTTTCTGATGTGATGGTAACTATCAAAGTCCATTGCTACAGTCCTTGTTGACATAGGCATTTACAGTGCATATTTAATTGATGAATAAATATCCAATAAATGCAATAAATCAATGGTATTTAAATTTTTCTTTCTTGATTGCCATTTTTAGGTCAAAAAACCAGCCCATTTGGGGAGAATAAGGGGTGGATCAAGTTCTTACTAAAAGATATCTATTCACTTTAGTGAAGCTGAATCTGTCCCTGTCTGTATACAAGCAACAGGGAGCAAAATCCCCCTCCTCCAAATTAAAAAAATGCCCAATGCAATCAAGAAAATTGTCATTTACATCCCAGTTGTTGAATAAATATTGCCAAATTCACTGCAGTTTCTTCTAGAACCAAGAATTTGTTGTTGATTACCTAAGAAAAAAAAAAAAGACTGCGCAGTTTTTTCGAAACTGCTCATATTCTGTCTCTCTGTTCTCCAAAACTCATTTTTTTTCACGTCCATTTCTGCAGCATATATTTACACACCAGTTCATGGGGTTTTGTCCAATTTCAGTAGTTACTAACTCCCCAGTAACCCTTCCAAGCTAACCGTTAAAAGGTTTAAATCCAATTTTGAAAGCACAAAACTCTTATTTTAGAGGCATTTCAGGATTTTCAGAAGTACCTCCTACCTACCTTTTCTCCTGCTGGAATCCACAGTAAGACAACAGAAGCATTGGACTTGTCTTCCCACCTGCAATTTAATAGAGGAATTTTTTAGATCATTTAAAGTTGTTTAATTCCACACCAGCAGAATTCTACAAACAGTTAAAAGAGATCCTTGAGAGAATAAAATTCAAATTCTCATTTAAACTCTGCAGAAGAGAATTATCTATGGTATACTAATGAAGATCATATGATCTTCACATTCATTAAAGAAAACTTATGACAGAACTTTGGCAATCAGCTTACAGAATGGGAAATATATTCTTTATTTAAAAAAAATTAGAGGAATGTAATTTTCCAATACAAGTATAATGAAAGGAGATAGAGAGATAAATCAAGAGGCTTATATAAACCTTGTAAATATTTTAGCCTTCTAGTAATGTGAAGATCTACAGTACTAGGTCTAAAAAGCTA